GATTTTGAATTGCCCTCTTTGCCATTTCATCTGCCCTCTCGTTTCCTTCTACTCCGATATGTGCTGGAACCCACACAAATACAACTGTCAAACCCATGTTTTGTATTCTAAATAATGTATGAAATATTTCTAATAAAATGTCCATCCTACTATCTGTTTGATTATTTTTTTAAACTTACTAATGCAGAGCTTCAGCTCTGCATTAGTAACATATTACCGTTTTTTAATGGTTTTATATCTTCTACCCATTGTAAAGCCAATAATATTGCCAACATTTCTCCTGTGTATACTGATAACCCATCTGTAATTTGTTTTCCTATTTTTATATTGAATTCTGGTAATACAAACTCTATTCCTATTTTCCCAGTTATTTTTGATGCATCAGTATAAATTTGACTGTATTCGTAATAATTATTTAAATATAATTGCACTGAATAACTATCTACAATGTATGATTTATCTTGTTGTTTTTTTTGTCATTACTGACATATCTACTTTTGCTTCTGGTAGAACCCAGGGTGGTATAATTGATATTGGTGTTGTTCGACTAATTTCTAAATTATTCATTTTAAATTTTTTTATTTTATTTTCAATTGTCCATCCAAAACTCCTTATTTCTTTCTTATCTTTTTCACAACATGGATTTAAAATTTCCAGAGTTGGATGATCAACGTTACTGCCTTGCAAATTTAACCAATAATTCATTTCTAATTTTGTTCTTCTTAAATCTAACGGCATTTCTCCCATTTCTATTTCTAATGCTGCTGTTGGTGTGGTTTTAAATGCTCCAGTACATAATCTTAGTGCCTGATGTTGGATAATGTCTAATTTAACCAGATGTGTTTTAGCTGCTGAACCATAAACCAAAGTCTATGTTGGATCTTATCATACCTGTGTAAATCTGTTTTAGTGATTGTCTATCTGCTCCCCAGTCACTGCCAGCCAAACATCTCAAAATATTCAAAATTTTCTTACATTTATCAACAACTTTTTGAATATGTATATGCCATTTAAGTTTTTCATCAAACCGTAATCCTAAAAATTTTATACACTTTACCTGCTCTAACTCTTGATTATATAATTTCAATTTTATTTCCTTATTTATTTTTTTCTGAGTAAATATCATTACTTTCGTTTTATCAACTGAGAACTTAAATCCCCATTGCAACGCCCATTTCTCTATTTCAATAATATTTTTTAACAATAAAATCTATGTTTTTCCCTCTTTTCCAAACAGCTCCAACATCTGCAAAAAGTG